TCGGGGACCTCCCCAGTTAACCAGGACTGCTGGTAAATGATGGAGAGTGGCTTGGCAAGCTCCTCCGCCAGCTCCCTCAGTACCCTCGAGTGGATCCCATCCGGCCCCACAGACTTGTCAGCATCCAGGTGGCGTAGCAGGTTGTTAACTCTTGGATTATGGGGAGTTCATCCTGCTCACCTCCAGCTCAGAGGGCTGAATACCCTGACGATAACTGGTTTGACTATTAAAGACTGAGGCAAAGAAGGCATTAAGTACCTCAGCCTTTTCCTCGTCCTTAGTGGCAATGTTCCCCCCCCATCTAATAAAGGATGGAGATTCTCCTTGGCTCTCTTTTTGTTGTTAACATATTTGTAAAAACATTTTTTCTTGTCTCTTACAACAGTGGCCAGATTGCTTTCTAGCTGGGCTTTTGCCTTTCTAATTTCCTCTCTGCATGACCTAACGAGATCGCTGCACTCTTCCTGAGTTGCCAAAACAAAAATGCTCTTGGTCTTTCAGAGAACCCATCAGCGTCTTTCAGAGCACCCATCATCCGTGGAGAGTACACTGAAGAATAGGATAGACTTTTAGCAACTATATGCAATTAGCTCAGAAATGTCTGCTGCACACATGCAGCAATTGTAAACCATAATTTACTTTTTGTACATGAAGAACTATGGAAGCTGTTGAAAGTTGCCTTAGCCACTCATCCTAGCAGAAGAAGGTAAGTGAGCACCCTTTCTTGTTTACATAAAACACAAGAGTTTTCCAGCAGAGTCTGCTTCTTCCCTCTGTGAAGAAAAGAGCAGCAAATAAAGTCCTCTTAGGCCTGGACATAAACTAAAGTGCTGCAATCCTCTTAAAGCAATGGTTGAGAATCACCATGACTCCAGGAACATAAACATTCATGTATTGTGAAAAGATATTATTTCACAAGGTTGCAGTTATTAGCTTGGTTTTCAAAAACAGAGTAGCTGCATCAGCACCTGGGCTTTTGACAACCTTCTGGAACCCAAACTGCACAGTGTACAAGTGTGTCCCACCACCACCAAGGGTATAATTTTTTTCATTACTGGTTAGATCAATGTCAATATTAATAAGTTTCTGTTGGGTGATAAATGGTAGTAACGTTTTCATGAGAGAGGTCCTAGTTCAGACACAGACCAGGTAGTAAGTTAGTCTTGCTGGTCTGTGTAAATGAATTAGGCTTTTATAAAGGTTTCTGCAAAGGCTTAATGGCATAAAGCATCACCATAAAGTTCAGATATGGTCTTACAAGATTTTACCTGAAAACATCTAGCTGAAGGAATTTCAGATCCCTCATTCATATTCTGGGGTTGACCCTGTATTCACACCCTACTTCCCCTCATTTAGGCTCAAAAGCACATTCTTCAAGTTCAGGAAAATCTTTCACAGAGAGTGTTGCTAGTTACACAAACTGTTGATAAAGATATTCCAGTATTCTGTGCATGCACAGTATCAGCAAACACAGAAAACTCAAAAGAGAATCTTAAGGGCTGTTGAGACTGAGGTATCCAACAACAGAACTCCTGCAAAATAATGATTCATTTAAATTCAACAGGAATCCCTCCGATAGCCATTCAAGCCTACAATAACATCCTACGCTGTGCAGTGCACTGAACAGTTGTTTTCTCTATGAAGATACTTAGTTCAAGTCTTTGAGGAAGAGACAGTTGTTTTATTATAAAGTCATACAGTTCATAGCTTATCCACTCAAGTCAATCCCCTGACATTAATGCAACAAAAACACAATGCAAAGCACTTAAACAGATTACCTAGGCAGCAGCTCTACTAAAATTCCTCTACAAAAGCTGGTACCTTTGGCATATTTGACAGAGTGGAAAGTTTCTCATCTCTTTTGATCTTGATTAAAAATGTAGCTTTAAATGCTGGTTCATCAAAGCACGGAAACGCAGACCTTGCTGCCAGAGGTTCAAACTGAGTTGCCGCAAACCACCTAATGGGAAGAGAAGAGCAAATTAAGAATTATGAAAAGGATAAATGTCAGTTTATTTATGATAGAACGGTCATTTTTCCCCAAACTCTGTAAGAGCTTGTTATGGGAGAAGCTTTCTGAATGGTAGATGACAGGGTTGGTCCAGTCAGAATAAATGTTTCATTAACAAGTTTTTTATTTGAGGACTAATTTGCTGGTTGTTTTCTTCTTTCTTACAAAAAAGAATACACCTGTAATAACCCAATTACAGAACAATCATCAAAATATAAGCCAGCCAGTTTCCAGTGAGAGGGAACAAAAAGGAGATTAAAAAATTAAATTAGTGAGCATGCCCACTAAATGAAAGTTTTGAAACCTCAGCAGCGGATGGGACTACAAGGAAGCTTCTTCATCTAATTGTCATGCCTCCTCCTGCAGATGGTCCCACAGTTCATCTAACTGATGCCTGCTCCCCTTGCTGGCTAGTAGATGGACTCTGTGTAAGTTCATGCACTGTCTTGTCTCTAATCCAGTCATATGACAGGAGAACTTCTCAGAAGTCTACATTCCTTCTCCAGTATTTTGATACTAACTAGATGCAGAATTTACTGCTTTTCCTATAGAGCATCTCTGACTTGTATTCTGCTCCTGCAAGACAGCCCTGGGAGCTCAACAAGAAGTTTGCAAATTTAAGTTTTTTATTTACTGGAGCTAAACAGTGGCGAGAACAGCTGTTCACGTTGCTTTTGCCTTTTGTTTTGTGGGGGGTTTTTTTGTGGGTTTTTTTTTTTTTTTAAACTTACTGCCAAGCTACCTACAAGTTTTTGGGGTTTTTCTTTTCTTCTGCACCATGACTCCAACATTTTTCGACCTACAAATTTTCTGAGGAGGCACACTGCTTACAATTCATAAGATTAATCTCTATGCCTGCTTTCAACTTCTTACTCTTCTCTTCCTGCTCACCGACAATCTTGAGGTTGATGCAGTAAGTGCCTTTTTCTTTTTTTCCATTACCCCAAGATTTTACAGAAGAAAAACAAACAATAAAGAACCATTCTGCATAAAAATGTAAGTAAGGCCCAACATTTTTTTTTTTAAATTTGCATCTGGCGACAGTGAGCTATTTTGCCATTTGATAATTTTACTGTTTTTGGTGGCAATATAAAAAATCTTCAAAAGAAAAGAAAACTAAACTAGAAGAAAAGACATTTTCTTGCAAAAGCAGCTTGACAGCTTGAGTTTTATACAGAAAATGCAGTAACAACAGAGGTTGTCAAAGTAGCCTGCATTTGTAAAACCACTGACATTAAACATACAGAGACAAAGCCCCTAGAAATAGATGAGGCAGGCAAGGCAATGGAAAGGAAGATATCAGCAAAGAGTTATCTGAAAAGGATTTACTGGAAAGCATACAAGTTAAAGCATGTGCTACATCCTGTCCCTGAACAAAAGCACGTAGCACTGAACTGAAGGGGGACAAAAACTCAAGAACTTACTGACAGATCATCTTTTTCCTCTGTGAACACTTACACTTTGTCTTTCTACTACAGTACGTACAAGGAGAAAACAAAGCTTCAGCTACATCAGAATAGGAAAAACCATGGAAATTCAAAAAGAGGCTAATCATTCAAGTGATTTTTGCCTTCTACACTTACTGTATTCTTACTCCCACTTACTTCAAGGTAATGCATGTCTTTAAGGTTTGTGATAAGCTACTTAGGTCTGTTTCATTTCATCTTGTGATTATGTTCGTCTGATGCAATCTATACTCCTTGTGATTCTTTATTATCCAATGCATTCCGCAACACAGAGACAACTTCTGGCATTTTTGTTATAATGACAGAATTCTGAAGCCTATCAGCGGTTTTCCAAGTGGCAACAGATTCTCTCTAACGATCATGCATACACTATAATGTTTTTGTATATGCTCAGGTACAGCCCTTTCATAAGAGGCTTATCAAGCAGCACTTTACCTGGGGGATCTGAACAGTCATCTACATTTGCACCTCAGTAAACACACCCACGTTCACTGGAGATGCAGGCAAACTGAAACAGATCAGCAATCCTTTAACTCAAATTTATTTCTTAAAATTCTTGATCTCTTAAAGAAAGCCCCTTAGACTACCTCACGTGAGGACCAACAGGAACACATAGGAGTAAAGAGAAGAGAGCTCCTGCCTTATCTCTGTTGCTGACCAGTTCAAGAACCCACTTAATGTTCCACAGTTCATCTGAATGCACCAGATTTTGCATATATTTGAAAACAAATGTGGCAGCCAACTTATTTTCTTGTACAATTCAGTGCTGTCATAGACCCACTAGGATCTAGATAAAGGGAGTTTTAAAGGCAAACTGTAAGTAAACTTTAGAAAAATAAACAAGTTTTGGTTTAAATGTCTGTTGTTAATACTTAGAGAGGCCTGCTGAATCTGCAACAAAATATCCTGGGTTTTTGTTTAGAGAATAGAATAGAAATATATCTTTCTTATGTTATGCAGCTTCCTAACAGTCTATGAAATCATCTTTACACTGAGTACCTTGTTTTGTTTATTTTTTTAAAGATGAGCTATCATTGAGGGACTTAAATAATTGAAACATCAGCAGCGTATAGTTATCATATCTCACTGGAGAGAGAAAAATTATAAACAAATTTGCCACACTTATGTTTTATTCTTCAAGGAGTCTCACTGAAAAAGTTTGCAACAGGTCAATGAAGGGTCTTGTTTTAAGTAACTGAAAATAAACACAATCTCAGTGTGATCCTCTTCCCAGGGAATTATTTCAAGTCTATATTGTCAATTTGTAAAAGGTTGGGTTGGTGGTGCTAATTTTAAGTTCTGCCTTCCCCATTCAGGAGACGAAATCTACTTACTAATATTTTGGGAATTTCTGTACAAACTCTCTGTTGTTGCAAAGATTTGTAACACTGATAACATTGTTTTTTCTTGCTTTTTCCTTTACATTCCATTTAACCTTTTTTTTTTAAAGCTTTAGATCTTATCATTTGTTAGAACAAGCTGGGAAGTGTTTTATGTCTTTATTTAGCATTTGTTTTGTGGGCCCTTCAAAACTACTTTCCTGTCAGCTGGTCCTGGACTGACCCACACTGCTCTTTCCGTCTTTTGTTTATTGCACCGCTCTGTTTCTAGAAAAACTCCATGGATAATTACGTGCCAACAAAGGCATGACCAGTGTAAGGCTCATTTGAAGTGGGTGGTGGTGGTGGGTGGTGATTTCTTTAATCTTCTTGGTAAAAAGCACTGATTTACCCTTTTTAAAAACAAGTATGATGTTTCTTTTTTCTCCAGTCACTGGGGACTTCACCCGACTGCCATGACTTTTCAAATATTGATTGAGAGCGGCTTGGCAACTACATCTCCCAGTTCCCTTAGGATTGTGGGTTGCATCTCATTGGGTCCTATGAACTTGTGTATGTTCAGGTTCCTCAGATGGTCTCGGACCTGATCTTCTCCTACGACGGTACTTTGTACTGCCAGTCCCTGCCTTGAGACTCAGGGACTCGAGAGATGCGCGAAGAATTTCCAAAGAGAGACACTAAAAATTAAACAAACACAAAGCCACGCTATAGCTACCTACAACCACTATACTGCACTACATTTTTAACTGATGGAGAGGCTGTCCTGACTTAATGAACTCATCCATGAATGACATTTTTCAGGTAGATTAATCAGGAGATTAAAGATCAATTTTGCTCAACAGGAATCAGTTGTATGAAACATCTAATAGAAAAAGCAACCCTGGTTATTTCTATTATCAAAGCACAATCTAGAAGTGACAGAAAAGAGAAGCTGCATTTGTGGGCATACCTTTGCTTAGAATTCTCATCCTTGTAAGAAATTTTGTAAAACCCGTAATAGGTATCTGATAAATTAGATGAATATTCTATGTTGACAGTATAATTCTGTCCTACAAGGAGAGCCTCAGGAGCCATGACTGCAATCTGGTCATGCAATGGATATTCCAGGAATTCAACTGGCTTTGCTTGATCTGCTGAAGTAATGGTTGCCTTGGTGATATTAAGTCCTGAGCTGTGAAGTACGATCTTCCAAGTTACCTGGACAATGTTAACCACTATCTTTACAGAGCCTGCAAATTTCAGAGTAGTTAGGTTTGGCTGCAAGACAAGATCATAATGCAGTGGTACAACAGCAGCAGGAAGTCTAATTTTTGCCCATGGAAATAGTTTTCCATTGGTTGCCAAAGGGTATATTAGTTCCATTGTATGTTTTTTTTTATGGCAGCCTTCTTTGGTAAAGGTACATTTGGGAAGAAGATAAATTGCCATTATTAATGAAACTGCAATCACAAGAACAACTGTGCAAACCACCATGGTCCTCGTAGAGGGCACCGAACATGATCCATTTGGATTTTGTCTATAGACAGACATGTTATTCCGGAGACCCGAGCTTCTGTTCATGAAGGACATCCCCAGCAACTTTGCTGATGACTCATAATCCTCTTCATCATCGTCCATTTCATGCTCTCCAAGGCCACGCACCAAGAGCCGGGAGCTCCTTGGTTCATACTCCACTTCATCAGGCTCCAGGGGATGTAAACAAGGCTCTTTTGCCAAGTCAACCACATCGGGCTCTTCTTCAAACATACTGTTTTCAATCATATTCCTGGGTAACTGAATTCGATCTGAAAAAGAAAAGACCATATGTTACATGATAAACAAAAAGCATGATTATAATACCCCAAAGATAGCTTACTGAATTACAGAATGGGAAACACTTTTACAGCATATACGATCAAGAGCTCTTCAATTTTCTCTCTCAGGTTTGTTTTCAGAAAACATTTCTGAGCTTTTCTGCCTACTGTAATTTTTCGTTCAGTATCTTCAAAAGGATGCTTCCGTTGCGCGTACTCAATCATGTGTCTTGCACCATAATTGGGGATCAGATATATCACTGCATAGCACTCCCAGTTCACTGATGTCAGTGTCTTGGCTACATTTCCTCTACCCCAGTAAACTATATTTGTATTCAAATAAATTAGTTAAGAAGGAATATTCTTTATGTTGCAGGGTAAAGCACAGGCAGACAATACAGTTCTAGAGGTGTTTCTGAATATGCTACTTACTGAGTTCCTTAATAGGAGAGAAAAACTGCCAATGTGCTAGCAGCTACACAAACAAAATATCCATTCGACATTTTTAAACTTCATTCCCCGCCCCCCCCCAAAAAAGATAAAAAATATTTCTCACATAAAAATGGCAGTATAAAAATTACTGTTCCAACTCACATCTTCATTTAAGATCTAGCTCATACAACCCTTGAAACAATCCATACAGGTCAGAAGTTAAATCAGTGCCAATCAGACTGTGTGTCTCCATAAAATTTGTCCTTAATAGATAACAGATCACTGAACATAAAAGAAGAATTGAAATTCATACCAAATTTTAAAAGCATATTCTCATATTCTACATGCAGTTATATTTTAATCAAACTTCTGGTCATGTCTATAACTGTTTATGTAAAAGGTTATCTTTCAGCTAACCTACTCAGTGGAAAGTGGAAAAAATTAAAAACGCTGTTGAAAAGAAGTATATACAGGGAATGGGACATGGACACCCAAAAGTAGCTAACTGAGGAGCAAAGAACTTTTTTTCATACTGTATTTAATCCAAAGCACTATAAACAACATAGAAATGATGTTGATTGGCTTTTGTTAGGACATCCCATAGTTGTCTAGAGAACAAACCAACTCAAATGGAAAAGCCATCTATATGATTTCTCTCCCAAAAAGCCCAAGAAATGCCATTACCAACTTTTTAGGGCCTTGAAATTAGTTAATTTGAATTAGTCCCCTGTCACAGCTTCTACTTAAGGGACTAGACGAAACTTTCGTCCAGCTGCAAGGCTTCAGAAATGAAACTAATCTCTTTCAGACATGAAGATCTACTGCTAACTGAACAATAATCACGTCACCCTCTATCCTCCACATTCTATGTTTTCAGAACAAGAAAGATAAATTTTTCTTTGGATCTAATTATACTGAAAAGTAGGTTGACTTTTATTAATTTCTGACAAGAATGTACATTTTGCCAATCTATATACTGCCTAGAATATCAGTGTTCCTATAATACATTGCTGATTGTATCTATATTGCTAAGCTTGCATCCAATAATTGAGGATAATATTACGCAGAAATAAATTACACAAATAATTTCAGGAATATAACCATATATAGTTGTTTGATAGGACTTAAAATGTTGAAAAAGGCTAATGAAAGATATTGGGAGGGCAAAGATTTGGTGGTTTGGCAGTAGCCTTTTTTTTTTTTTTTTTTTTTTTTTTTTACAGTCAGGTTTCTATATGGCTGAAATTCTCGAAGGTGAAAATAAAACATTTTAAAGAAAAGATGGCAAGAATATTTGCAAACCACATATACCAAACTCCTCAACATTTACTCTAAAATGTGTCAAGGCCACAAACTCAGAAAACTATAGTGCCAGTAGCCATAACACCGAAAAGGACAGAGCAAGAATTCTTATTCTAGCCCACATTCTACCATGCTTTTCTCTTTGTGTGATATCTGCGTATTAAACCTCTAATAATACTTGCCTGCCACTTATTTCAGAGTTAGACTGACAGACTATTCAGATACCTTCAAACCAAATAATAGCTTCATGAAACAGCACCTTGCATCTCAAACAAAAAACTACTGCATTACTTTAAAAAAGATCAACCTTGGACATTTCTTTGCAAAGACCTTAAAATAAGAAAAAAGAAAATAAAAAATCCTATCCCACAAAAGTCAGTAAGAGGAAGGTGCACTGGTCAATCTGAACAAGCAATATGGAGATCCATGAAAGCAGGGAGTTTGCTGGAATTTCGATCTACCTGCTCACCCTTTGTTCCATTGCAAACATGCTGCTCTGACTAGGAATAGGATCATAGGGTCACAGGATACCTGAGGTTGGAAGTGACTTCAGGAGGTCATCTCCTTCAACCTCCAGGCAAAAGCAGCTTCTAAAAGTTTCTGTCCTTATGGCATTTCCCAGTACAGTGCTCATGTTCCAGCCTTCAGGCTGCGTTTGCAGTGCAGTGGTCCAGCACTATGGTCTCTCTCTACATGAGAGCATGTGCACTCATATTATCAGATTGGAGTCCTCACAGAGTAAAGAAAGAGGATAGAAAGCTAAGTTACAAGTGAAAACACACAGACAAACCAGTGGAGAAAAAAAGAGTGGAAAGACAAAGTATCGTGCAACGGAAGCTCTTTTACAATTCCTCTACCCAAACATAGTTTATCAAGAATTCACTAAACTACTTCTAGCAGAAATTCTTGTTGATTACTCCCTCAGCTGGTTCCTTTTCAAATCTGCTGGCTAGCTTCAATCACATTTGAAAACAGACTCAAGATCAAATTTCTTCAAGTCCCAATGCAATCTCATCCCAAAACAACCAGCTGCTAGTAGAAGACACCCAAATCAGTATCTGCTATGGAGAAAAGGCAGGTATTAAGACTCACATCTTAACCATTCCAAAAGGTAGCAGCCAATCAGTACACAGCTCCAACCCCAGCCATGGCATGTGTTGCTGCATGGCCCGCAAAAGAGGTAGAAGACAGGGGCGGCACTGCAGAGGGAAGGAGGAGAAAGATAAAGAGCATAAGTCTGGCAGAAAAAAGGCTTCATCAGTTCATAAGAACAGTTTGCTTTTTGAAGAGCTTATTCTCTAGCTTATTCTTCCAAAGCCAACTATCTTAATATTTTCAAAGTTGCATGCAGGCACTAATAACTCTTTTAGTCAAAAAGAATTATACAAAAAATCTCAAACTGAAACTAAGATAGAAAAGCTAAAACAAAAGTTAGTTTCAAGGCAATTCACAGTTTTAATACTGAAGAGACACTCGTTTCTAGGAAAAAAACAGTTAAAAACAATTTCTATGGAAGTATTTGCAAAAATTGGAAGCAATCAAAGTCTTGGTTGTTCTGTAGTGCTGAAAATCTGTAAGATCAGAACTTTACTGAAGATCAAGGGCATCACCAGACTACTAGTCTCCACTGGAAAGCACATAGACAAAGTATCAGAAGGTTACTGGAGTTATTTATGCTGACATATGCATTCACAGAAGCATAGAAGTCAGGCTACTTTTTGGAGAGCAACCATGGCAAACACATTTAAAGCTTTTACACTCAGAATAACTCAGGTCTGTTTGCTTCCTGGTGGTTCATCGGAATTTGTAACATGATAGTGTGAGTCATCAATCATGTGAATTGAACTCTTATGACCTTTCAGTTTTAACCCATGAGCTGCTACAATATGAGCTAAAAATCCCATAGGAAGGACAAAAAAAAGGTATTCTTAAACTGAAACAAGCCATAAGGAATAAGCAGCAGCCTGAAGAACATGATTGCAATCATCACATTTCACCGTCATCTTTCACACCAAGTATGGCCAAGAGGCAAACATTCCCATTGTAAAACATACTAAAAGCAAATTAATTCGGATATTCAAGCAGATTAATTCAGATTCCAAATATGACGCAGGAAAAATTAGTATAACTGCAAGACTAGGGAACTTTAACCTGTAAAGAAGCTGCATGGTTCCAGTGAACTACCACTGCCATGCCAGAGGCTGGAGGTGCACTAGAGCCATTTGTGGTCACACTAGTCCGTAATTAAGGAAGTACTGATCTAAGCTGCTAAAATGCACTACAAAAATTATCTGTTATCAGGCATGGCAATTTAAATCTATATCTTTACTAAACATAAGCTTAGTGTGAGAGTGAACAAGGAGGTAAAAAAAAAGTCATGGGGCTAAGTCTTGTTCCTCCCTAATTAGCACTAATGACATGACACTAAAAGCTTAAAGCTTAAGCTTTCAGCTACAGCAGCTAAAAGCTCAAACACATCCAAGTAAAAGTGATTTTACACAATTCTTTCACAAATTTGTAATCTTAAAATTAGAGATTTTCAACATCTTCCTCAAAACGTGATCTATTATTACATCTAGCAGAGAACAATGTGGATACTCACAGTTTAGAAACAATCCTAAGAAGAGATGTGAAGTTAAAAACTAAATAGATAAACTAACCCAGCAAGCCAACCCTCCTAATACGGCAAAGCTGAAGGAAGGCAGACATTTTCTCAAAAGTGATCGTTTTCAAAAAGTTTCTTTATAGTTGCCTCCTGCAACGCAGATGCCCAAAAACCTATTGCAACATAGCGCCTCATTACAATATTCAGGGATTATAACAAGCCTGGTCTGTTGTTTTCTGCAAAGAGGACAGAATGCTTGGACATGAAATTCAAATGCAGTTTACAACAGGACAAGCCAACAGTACAGTAAGCGTGGTGTATGTACTGCATCCTTTGCTAATGTGAACAGCATACTCATATCTAGGTGGTAAAAAGTGGCACAATGGTGAGTAATTAATCAGACCAAGCTAAACAGAAGGAGGTCCCTTATCTTGTTCCTACAAGACACATCTTCTACTTCCATATCCTTTCACAAATTAGTCTTTTAACTTACAAAGGAACTTTACTACAATACTCAAGTTCAGTATAAAAGATGATCATGCAGGGACAATCAGGGGCTGCAGTAAAACTGTCTAGCGTTTGCTCCAAATATTTATTTTGTCTGAAGAGCTTCACCCCCATTAAGGAGG